CAAATAATAAACCGTAAAAAATCGGGGAATTTCAACGGCATGAGTCAAATGTCTGGTATTTTCGAAGATATCATGATTTGAGGCTTACTCTCACTATCACATCTATACCACATTTTTTGTTCGAAACTGGCGGCTGCGGACAAGACGAGAGTTCTAAATCTCGATCTTAAGACTCGTTTACACTGTGTGGTTTTGTTCGGGATAATCTGTGCTAGTAAATTGCAGGTATTTTTACATCGTTTATGTAAGCTGGATTTCCATACGTCGGTTACTCGCCAGTATACTGGAAAACAAAATCTTACTTTGACTGTATCTTTGTAAGTTGATCTTATTACAAGAATTGCACTCTTCTGTTCTTATTTATATCATTTTTGCAAGCTAGAAGAACAGACGAGAAAGAATGTCATATTTTAGCTCCAGCCCACTTCAGGCTATGCAAAATGGCTATTTTTGTACGTGCAAGCTACCGTAAAAATAAATTAATGAATATATGGCTTTAGTCTCATCAAACTTAGACTGATTCATATTGGCTTTGTTTAAAAAAAAAACAAAGAAAATATCTTTCAGATGGTTGGATGGATTCAACTTTCAGAACTGTCAAGTATGAAGAAAAAAAGTTATTATTTTATTTATTAACATCCATCAGTGCAACGATCGGAAAAATAAACAACACAAAACATGTCTGAACAATTACACCTAATAATTTTAACAAATTATTGTTATTTACGTGGGTAATTATATTTTCTTATTCTCGTTACTGTAGCATTTTGCCGCAAAGATGAAATAAATGTTAGATCAAAGCAAAACAGGCCTATAAATCCTATTTTTTTTAATTAAAAAATTTTGCCGCTTGTGAAAAAAGATGTTTCTAGATAGGGTAAATGTGTACAAGAGTACGCACTTAGTGTAAAACTGTCAACAACTTTTTAATTTTTTTGGATAGACAAATTTTATGATATGGGTTCGTTATATACATGTTTAGAGATCAAATATATTTAATTGTACGTCCCAAGACCATTATATTTTAAGAGTAATTTTAATTTTTGTCAACATGTGTAAATGCGTACTCTTAAACAGTTCATTGCACAAGAGTGCGCATTTGAACGCTTATGAGTGCGCATTACATTTTATGAAAAAATATTTGTTTCTAAGGTGAAAATAAATGGGAATAGGTGATTGCAGAGTACACATAAAACGGGAGACCTATTTCTTCGTACTCTAGGGGTCTTGAAAAGTCGAGAAAACGTAAAAATAGAGAGTCGGTCGACGGACTCGATTACAACTCGCTCAGGAAGTAGAAATAAAAAAAAAACATCATAACCACCACCACACAACTTGAGAAACAGTACAAAGTAGTACAGTTAAATAATTCATTATCGTATGATATGTATCTCCAAGACTATTAGACTACGTATTGCAAGCAATGGGCACTCTTATACAATACCTCGCTGCGCACTCTTGTACATTTGTACATAACCTAATGTTTTCAAAGTTAAAAGCTTTTGATGGATAGAAAGTATAAAACTGTTAGTGTATAACGAGACCTTAAAAGTTACAACTAATGAAAATTATTACTGTAAAATAAAAGAACTGGTACGTACCTTACAAAAAACTGAAACTATGAGCGGTAAAAATTACATCCACACAACGTGTGAACATAAAATCGTCAGTACGACCAAACTATAAACTATATTCAGGTCACTTTTGCACCTTTATCTCAGGTTTAGCATTAAATTCTGAATAGTATAACTTCATCTTACCCAGATGGCACTAATAAGCAGAAATCATCAGTGCGTACTCTTATACATATTCGCACTCTTGTACACATTTACCCTAATTCTATTTTTACAATTAAAATTTAAGTAAGCCCCAAAAAGTGTTGAAAGTGATCTCCATCTCACTTTAAATGCTGCCTAACACTTTTATAGAGGTATTGCGATGTATGAATCATTTTATAGACACTTTCTATTATTTTTTTTTGAGTTTGTTTCTATATGCCATAAATTTTGCAGAATTTGTTATTGTATTTTATCTGAGCTCTTAGATTTTGGTATTTATAAATTTTTCCTTGGAAATTGCCTTTTTACGGTAATTTTTTTTATTGTTGTTGAACTATGAATTTTAATGTAACAATTTGCATATTTTTAAAACTTATACAGCATAAAATAAAATATCTACGGATAATTCCCTCACCACAGGTAATTTGACCATCGGCGTCATAAAATCCATTTTGGACCTAGGGGCAAAAATTCATCCATACTCCAACTCGTATGTCTTCCTTGTCATAAGCAGTACTCATATTTTGTACAGGATTAAGACATTGTCCGTTTTGAGTAGGCGCTTTAAAACGTGCTTTAGATAGAACAGATATCAATAATAATTATTTGTTTCACGTGAGATTTAGGACAAACTGATTACAGCATCGGATTTTACCGGATAGGAAGATAAATTTTGTTTTTAGATGAGATTCCATTTTTTCTGATTTTGTTTGAAAAGATGATTTTTTTCGAAAATTTTCGAAACATTTAAGAAATTTTTTGTATAAATTTCGAACAGAAAATGATTTTCAATTAAGGTATGTAAATGAAAATATAAATGTTTTTGTTTAACAATAGTATATTTACATAGAAACAGTGTCGATCGTTCTCAAAAAAAAATCAAATTGTGCTTATTTTTTCAAAAATACTTTTATCTAATTTGTTGAGATTTTCCTATTAACTCATAGAAAGTGAATTAGGCTGTAAAAAAACTAAAATAGCGCTCAAAATATACTACTTAAAAGTAGAAAAACGGCTTTGAAAAAAGACAAAGTAGGCATTATAGGCAATGCAATAACTAAATATTATTTGTTTTTTACTTCCCGACGTCGTTAATTCGGCGAATGGCTACTTTCGTGTTTTCCCAACGTGTCATGATCACTAGTGTAAGAAACAATAGGTCCGCCGTTTTCGTCTGTCGATCTGTCTGTCTCCTCAAACTTCAAAAATCATCAGAACTCGATAATCCTCAAATCCTCAGAACACCATAATCTTCAAATCCTCAGAACAGCGAAATCCTCAAATTCTCAGAACCCCATAATCCTCAAATCCTCGAATCCTCAGAACAGCGAAATCCTCAAATCCTCAGAACTCCATAGTCCTCAAATCCTCAGAACACCGAAATCCTCATATTCTCAGAACCGGGAAATCCTCATATCCTCAGAACACCATAATCCTCAAACCCTGAGAACAGCGAAATCCTCAAATCCTTAGAACACAATAATCTTCAAATCCTCAGAACAGCGAAATCCTCAAGGCTTCAGAACAGTAAAATCCTCAAATCCTCAGAACAGTGAAACACTCATGTCCTCAGAATACCAAAATCCTCAAATTCTCAGAACATCCTCAAATCCTTAGAACAGTGAAACCCTCAAATCCTCAGAACACCAAAATCCTCAAATCCTCCGAACAGTGAAATTCTCATATTCTCAGAACTCCATAATTATCCCCTCCCAAAAAATGATGACATCATCTAAAAAATTTGGCGAGTAAATCGTATCTAAAATATGTAAAGAAATACTTATTATTCTGCTTGTGGTTTATCAGTGCATTAAAATTTTTTAGAATTGCTTATTCAGAGTAACACAAAAAAAGTTTTGTGAAACGATTTTATATAGGAGTGTTGCCTGAAAGCCTACTGTACAAATGAAAAGGCAGTTGCACTCCGCTCTCTTTTAAAGGGGCGATGAAAACGTTAGATTTCCGGCAAAGTTGCAAGTTTATGTGTTTTTGTGTAGTATACTATTTTCAAATACAATGACCGGCAAAAAAAATCGGCCACACTGAAAAATTTCGCAAAACCAAACTTTAAAAATTATTAATTTAACTAGTGATCGTTATTTTATTAAAGAACCATTCACTATTGACACATGGTGTATAAATTAGCAAAAAAAATAAGACAAACGCAGAATTAAATTTAATTTAACAAAATAACAGAAACAGAGCGACAATTTGAGAGATGTCTGTAAGAGTTAATGGAATTGTTTTCGCATGAAAATGTTTTTTAATTGCCAATCTTATAATCAAATGATGAAAAACACTGTTTACAACAGCAACCTCCTTTATTGTGTTTTTTAAGAAAGTATCGTACTTGGTCTGTTTCTGTTATTTTGTTAAATTAAATTTAATTGTGCGTTTATTTGTCTTCGTTTTTTTCTGCTAATTTGTACATCATGTGTCAATAGTGAATGGTTCTTTAAATTAATAATTTTTAAAGTGGTTTTGCGAAATTTTTCAGTGTGGCTGGTTTTTTTGCCGGTCAGTGTATTTTTCAGTACTAATTTTTTTAGATCGATTTAGTATCGCTTTTTTTTTGTCAAAAATTCACGGCAGCCAAAATTATGTAATTGTAATAAATGAGTTCACCTCTATTTCTTTTTCGATAATTTTTATTAAGTACATATTGTCACTTGGAATAATTTCAAAACGTCCTTGGGCACACTACAAGCTTTGATTTACGAATTACGAACGTCAATAAAAATCACTCCACTTATAAATTTACCGTCCGACGATAAAACCGACAATACGTCTAGTTGTATCTATGATTTACAACGCGATCTGCTGCAAAATTATATGTTTGAGAAAATGAGCGTATCAGTGTGGGTAATACGTGCCATTTTATTTTTTTTCCGATGAATTCCAAAAGAATTCTGGTGAATTCCACATAATTCCAGTTATTTCTTGTAAATTCAGTTATTTCTATCGTGTGTAAAAATTCTTCACCAATTTCTGAAAGTTCCATTCAATAAATGACTGTATAAATTCAAATACAAACTGACTGTTTCAACAAAAATTTTGAACAATGCGAAATTCATGGTCTTGAAACGGTCATTGGTGTAATTTTTTGAAACACTTTTGCTAGTCCTGAATTTCAAAGTTGAGCCAAGACAAGATTAAAACAATTGTCTTGTCTAGCCTGCAACTTGAAAAATAGTTTACTCATTAGACTAATTTTTTAAACAGTAGACCCTCGCACTGCCGAGTATTTTACTGAAGGACGAGAGTGTGTGAACTGCGGTGCCATCGACACCCCTTTATGGCGAAGAGATGGTACTGGGCACTACTTGTGCAATGCTTGTGGCCTTTACCATAAGATGAACGGCATGAACCGGCCCCTTGTCAAGCAGCCTCGTAGATTGGTACTTTTACACTTATGTCTAATTTCATCATTGTCGGAGTTCGACGGTCGACCGAACAACATACTGCATGTCATATTTTGGGAATAATTGCATGACTCATTTAACATAATGTTAAGGTTACGGTCTAGTGATAATCGGAGCCCCTCGTTAAGTGGAGGAGTCAAGATCTTGCCATGTTGTTCGGTCGTCTGCGAATTGTAAGCGTAAAACACCCCCGATGTGCGAGGCAAAGCTGCTACATCAAAGTCGGTTCCTTTTTGTGATAATTCTGCAAGAGATAAGCCTAATTCCCCTCTTTATTTGCGTTGCAGTGGCGGCAGAGCCGGGCCACGGGGGTGTTCCTGATTTCTACAAGAACTACTACCCTGGGTATAATGGGGCCAATAGGGCCCCTACTTTGCACACCACCGAAGAAAAATCCAGTCGCCGTTTGGTAGGTTTACTTGTTTGATCAAAAGCACTTTTTCTTTTCTTCTTTTTCTTTGCGAACTTGAATCGGTGGTTTTGAAGATTTAATTCAATCACATAAGTTTGAAACGAGTTCTGATATAAAATGAAGCTATCAAATAGGACTGATATCTTAACCAGGGATATCAATAAATCTTTCATAGATTTCTTTATTTATAATTTAATTAATTTTAAAATTTGATTTTCCTTATAAGTAGTTCGTAGTCACTCTTCAAAACCAAGCTTTACTGGCAATAGTGTGCATTGGCCCCATCATACCCTGGACTTGAGCAAAATAGGTTTGTGTAACAGTGTAATAATGTACATTAATTTTGCTCCAGTCCATTGTGTACACTAATTTGTTTCTTTTTCGATTAACATAGTATACTTCTGAGTTTTTTTTCTAACTTGTGCTGTTGACAGTCTGCATCACGTCGCGTTGGACTTACCTGCACAAACTGTCACACAAGTACGACTTCACTGTGGAGAAGAAATACTGTTGGAGAACCCGTCTGCAATGCCTGCGGACTATACTTTAAACTTCATGGGGTTAACAGGCCTTTAGCCATGAAGAAAGACAGTATCCAGGTAGGTGTTTAGTAGGGTATTAATAAATAAATTTTGGGTCGTTTTAAGATTTATTCAATAATTGTCTCGGGATCAATTTTGTACAAACACGCAGAATCAGTTCTTTCCATTTTATTTCACTAATGGGGCCAGACCGCATAGAATATACGTAGTTATAGCTTCAAAAGTTCCTTCACTGATTGAAATAGTTCTCCATGGTCCTTCCTGATATTAGTTTTTTTTTTTTTGAATTTTTGACTGGAAGAATTGGGACTGTTTTGGGTAGCGGAAGTGATTTTTGTTTTAAGATACTGAACCTTATTTTATAGTCACTAAAAATTAAAATTTTATTTATTGCATCTTCACTATTTGAAGGTGTGTGGGAGTGAATTGTTCTAGTACTTGTTCTAAAGATGTTGTAAAGATTAAATACAGTCCTCGTGAAAATATTGAATATTCTATTACTTCTTCTTGCATTGATACTAAAAACCATACGAAAGTGAAATTACTGGAAGTTGCTATTAAAAATATTGTAACCCAATTTGATTTACTTGTTTACCTCTACTTTTTGTTTCTAATTTCAAAGATAAATAAATTGGGCTATTTTCCTGAAATAGAAAACTCTTCTGAGATTATAATTTAGAAATCCAATTGATCAAGTTCTTGTTGACAGTATTCACCAACTCAAATTTTTAAATAAATTATTTAAAGTATCTTATTGGCACATAAATGAAGTCAAATGTGATTCACTCATTATTAATTGATTTTACGGCCAAATGAAAAATGTGAAAAATCCCTGATGGGCAAAAAAGCTCATTAGGTCGTAAGATGCACATAAATAGTAGATCCTTATCTTATGTAGGTGTCATTTCTTTGGTTAAAATTGTCAAAATAACAACGATTTGCGGTTTCATCTACTGTTTATTCAAAAATTTAAAAAACACCACCTGTTGAAATAAGTTGGTACCAAATAAAACTACTCTAGGGCTTATTTTTAGACTGGAAAATTGATAGTATAAAAAACTTCAAATTTGAAATTTCATGACAAAAATGTCAAAATAAAATAAATAAAAACACCATGTTTTGAATAAAAATCATGATCATCCTAACCTCAATTTTTTTTTAATTTTTGAGCAGATAATAACTTATTCACTTCCCAATTAGCAGTGTTTTACTTTAAACATTTTTCGAGAGTTCCAGACACTCCACAAAAAAGTCACACACATTTTTTTTTACTACTACATTTTATCAGTAAAGTAAATTTGATCTAATTGATTTATATTGATTGACACTTTGTGCTTTTTCATGATGTTTTGTTTTTTAAATGAAACACAAATCATTACTTAACACATTATTTTATTTTGTTTTTTTTTACTTGAAATAAGATAAACAAAAAAGTAGTTGCCATACAAGCATAATTCGTTATGGCGTACAAGCAAATACAGTTTTAAATTTTAACGTGGGAATTTTTTTCAGTAACTGTACAAAAAAAAATGTTTTGGCCTACTATTAAAGAGTTATTTGTACACAAAACAATAAACGGAAGTTATAAATTCGCATTAAGCTTTGTACTGCATTTATTATCGATTCACTATCTGTAGACGTAACAAATATGGTAACATTTACCTACTTTTGACCTGTAATCATAAATAAGTATAAATTTTTTGTTATAAGCTGTTTACATAGGGAAGGTATAGTTTTCGATGATGTTCCTATATGACGTGTTTCGCATATTAATTTCAAAATTTGAGCAATGTAAGAAGTCAGCTTTTAAAAGAATTGCATAGAAGTGTTCTCTCGTGAATTTTGAACTTTGTAAGTCAGTATTAATCACTTGACTATGGTCAAGAATGTCCGAAGTCTAATTTTGTTGAAAGTAATTCATAAGTTATTTTCTGTGTAATTTTTCTGCATTGTTGAGTATACATTTTTTATCGTTTCGTGGTCGTGAGTAATTGTAACTTTTTTCAGACAAGAAAGAGGAAACCAAAGGGCAGTAAGGACAACAGCTCTCGAAACACGATTACCAATGTTTTGGAGTCGACCATCAATACTATCAAACTGGAGCAGAATCTGCCATCAGTTAAACTGGAACATTCCACATTAGGTAAATTTTTGTTTCCGTGTATCTAAGATGTACCCTAATATTTGTCTATTTGTAGATAATTATAATGATTTGAGATCGGTAGCGTCACTAAATCACATGCAACACAACAGTTCTTCAAGTTATGTCTATAATAACCAGCCCCATCAGCGAATGTCTCCTTATACGTCGCAGTCATCACAAATTACAAATAGTTATTTTGATATGCTTCAACCGTCAAGCCCCAGTCCGCCTTCCACGACATCACCAAGTCCAAGCTCTCCACATATTGTAAATAATAACAATAATAACAATACAAAGGTTATTATGAACGGAGAAAACATTAACATGGACAGACCAACAGTAGTTTCCCTATCTTCATAATTTCTTTCCGAAATACTGTACCATAACTTACGTATAAAGTTATACATAAATGCAATAATAGTTTACATGTTTAGGGTTATTGTTAACAGCTTTTGAATAAGTTGTTTTTGTAGTGTTTTTGTTTCTATTTTTGTCTAGGAAAATATCCTCAGTTGTGTTTTAGGATCTTACCAGTTTTGTAAGTTGTACATCTAATAATATTTTTAATGAACATTTGAGGAACTAAAAATTTAATAACGTGTCATGACAGTTTTTGGGATTCTTCTAGCTTTATGTTCGTTCTTTTATCAAAATTTGAAATTGTGATAGACAAATGGATATTTTTAGCACATTTATATCACGAAGGAGTTGAAGTACAAAAGTAGTCTCATAATTATTACTGTATATTATATATACTTAAAGCAGATTTCTCTGAAATTACCAAAGACAATTTGTAGTTTCTGAAAATTACTTAGGTTATTGTGTCTTTTTTGTACATAATATTACTTTAAGAATTATGTTTTAGAAATATTGTTTTATTTTTTGACTGATTCGAATGATTCGAATTTACACAAGACAATAAATAATAATTTATAAGATCTGATATAATTCGTATAGATCTTTTCTGAGTGTTTATTCTAATCATTTAGAAATTAAGTTTTTTGTTTTAATATTTTTTCTTGAAAATTATGTCTCTCTGGTTTTATTATTTATTATCAGTTATTGCTATGTTCATATTCAAGTTGACATTCCAGATTTTTGTACAGTTTTGTTTTCGTAAAAGGTTTAGGTATCAGATATTTTTGCATTATTTTGTTTACAAAATTGTATACAAATTTATATTAAAAAAAGTGTAATCGTTTCTTAAATCTTAACGAATATTGGTTAATAATTGATATTATTATTTTGTACCGCTTGTATATTTCATAATAAAAATATTTAATTTCGCAGCCAGGTGTAATATCTGTCGGTTCTACCTTTCTAGGAAAAGTAAGACTGACCATTAAGAATATGCAGTTATCAATAAACTTTTTGTGTATAAATCAAATAAATCTAGGTACTGATTTTCTGATGGTCCTATTGAATCTGACTATGTGGTTACCATCACATTTCGTACCACAGTTAATTAAAAAATTTTAGCGATGACAATTTCATAAAAGAAAAAAGCAAACTAACCTTGTGAATTTTCAAAAATATGCCTTGGCATTGACCATCTGTCCACAGGCTGTCGATTATATTATAATACTCACTGAGAGAGCAATAAAAAGTATGCTCAAAGACAGCCATGGATTTTTGAAGATTTGTCTTTGGCAGAATATTTGTCTTGTCAAATTGCCGTCAGTTTGAAAATCCGAGTTGAAAATACAACGGCCAAAGACAAAATTTCAAAAAACCAAGGCTGGCTTTGATCTTGTTTTTTTGCTCTCCTGGTACAATGTGAGATAGATGGGATAATTTTAATTTCCCGCGCCCAAAAATCAACATTCTTTTCGTTTTCGTTTAAAAGTTTAAATTCATTAAAACTTAAGCGTCAATAGTCAATACTTTAATCAAACTTAATCCGAAGTCTCATCTCTCTTTAAACATAGGTAGAGTACATGAACGGAATGAACTGTGTCTGGTCGAATGCACGATTATTTATTATTATTATTATTATGAAACTGCGATCGGGCAGAGGCCTAAGCCTGTTGTGCCCGCGCATCTTTAATACCTACACTCTACACTTTGTTACACATGTTTGAAACTTAAAACCGAGTCACTCTACACAACCTCCGTTGGTAAAGAATTCCACTTATCAAACACCCTGTTAACAATGTATATCTGTCTAGCTGTTGTTTTAAAGTTACCTTTAACTAATATAAAGGAATGACCCCTTGTCCGACCACGCATGCCTAGCTTAAAAAAGGACCGTATCACTGAGTTGTTGTTAGTAAGCGCTTGAAATGTTGTAATCATGTCCCCCCTTACCCTTCTATCAGCCAAGGCAGGTAAGGGCATTAGGGCCAGTCTCCCTTCATATGAAGGGCGAACTCTCCCAAACGGCAAACGAGTGGCACGACGCTGTACAGTCTCCAATGATGCAATATCGCCTTTCAGAGACGGTGCCCATACAGTATTGGCAAATTCAAGAACTGGTCGAACTAATGTTTTATATAAATTGATGAACATCGATACTGTAATAGCCCTAAACGTCCGACTAATAAGAAATATAATTCTATTCGCCTTCTTAACTACTTCAGCTATGTGCTCGGACCACAAGAGAGAGGATGACACCATTACACCCAGATCGCGATAAGAGTCAACTTTGGACAGTTGCGTGCCATTCACATGATAATCATGCTTTGGATTTCGGCTACTATTAGTAGTTATCAGAACAGTGAAATTGCAACTCTTATTATAGATCTTCAGGTCATCAGCATACATTACAAAAGGCGACTTCAGAGAATATTTAATGTCGGAAGTATAGATCTAAAAAGAAGAGACCCAAGTACCGATCCCTGAGGAACTCCACTCAGCACTCTTCTCTGCATACTAAATACGTCACCCACTTTAACACTGAACAACCGATTAGAAAGAAAAGCCTCTATCCAGCGAAGAATGTTTCCACGAACGCCAAAATGGTTGAGTTTAAGTAGAAGATGTCGCAAAGGCACTCGATCGAAGGCCTTCGAGAAGTCCAAATACAGAACATCAGTCGATTCGCCGGAATCAAGCGTCTTGGTCCAGTCCTCAAGACTGCAGAGTAAACTTGTAATAGCAGACCTACCAGGCACAAGTCCGTGTAGCTCTGTAGGGATTATATTACAGTTAATCATGAACTCTATCAACGCATCATAAACAATGGATTCAGCGATTTTGACTACGTGAGACGTTAAACTGACAGGTCTATAATTGTCAGCAACAAACTTATCACCCTTTTTGTACATGGGTTTCACCACCGCGGACCTCCATTCAAGAGGAAAAGTCCCCGACTCAAATGACTGCTCCATCAGAATCTTTAACGGTTGGCACAAACATTGGCACTTTTTGAGAAGACTCACGGTAATGCTATCTGGTCCAGGAGATTTGGTTATGCACAGTTTAGATATCTTTTTAGCTATTGCTACCTCAGAGAATTCAACGGAAGTAATAGTTGTTGAATTTGTGTCAACTGTAAAAACTTTAGCAAACGTGTCCGCAAACAAATTAGTGACAAATTGACTATCCTCGGTGACACGTTCACTTACGTCTCTTAGGTGAGGGGTCTTCACAGGCCCAACTAAGGAAGACCGCACGTATTTCTAAAAACATTTCACATCTTTGAAAGCAGCAATGCGCTTCTCATAGTTGCATCTGGCATCTCTTATAGTAGCAGAAACTTTGCTTGAAAACACTCTGTGTGCCTTGTAATCACTCTCACTACTAGTGCGCTTGTAACATCGCCACAGCGCCCTTTTTTTTCTAATAAGTTTGAGAATCTGTTTGGTGATCCATGGTTTATTTGAAGACTGTTTTCTTACTACGGAAACTGTGTGTTTGGTCACCACAGAATTAAGCTGTTTCTTAAATCTAGTCCAATTGTCTTCTACAGATGGTTCCACAAGAATGGTGGACCAGTCAATGTTGAACAGATCTCTGTTGAGCAGCTCATAATTCGTAATAACCCTACAAGTAGAGGTAATCCTCCTTCCTCTTTCAAAACAGATTTGCACTTCTACCTTTAACACCACGTGATCAGATTTACCAACAGGATCCAGATAATCTAAGTTTGCTAGTAACTTATCGTCCGAGGTGATAATTAGATCGAGGGTTGACGGTGTTTGGTTCGTCCTATAACGGGTCGGTTCAGTAATAATTTGCTCTAGATGTGTATCAGTACATCACGCAACAACTGGGAAGGAGCGTCAAAATTAGAGATATGATCAAGAGGCCAGGTTATGTCAGGTAAATTAAAGTCTCCCGCGATAATCAGTCTGTCGCAGCTATCGGCAATTTTTGACACAAACGTAAAGAGTTTTCTAACATCACCAATTGCAGAGTCTGGGAGTCTGTATATACATCCTAACACAAATGAGATACTACTGTTCGATGATTTGAGAAATAGTGCTTCATTATTGCCGACTTCAGAGCTTAAGATATTAATTGTGAAACTGGAACAAATCAAGTCCGCTACAAAGATACCCACACCGCCACCCCTTCTGCCGTCCCGGTCGTTCCTAAAAAGAGTGTAACCGTTTATAGCCACTAATGTATCAGGAATCGCAGGGCTTAGCCACGACTCTGACAACATTATGAAAGTCGGTTTCAAAGATTGCACCAGCACAGAGAAGTCGACATATTTTGCCATCAGGGAAGCTACATTAGTGTATACTAAATTGCCAACAAAATATTTAACAGATGAATTATTTTGAAAACAGAATTTGAAAAGAAAGAAAAGAAAAGAAACGAAATCGAATCCCTATTAGGAACCGCCTGAGGGGCCAGCCACAGTATCCGTAGCTTTATTAGATGTTTCATCTGCAAGCCTAGCAAGCGCCTTTTTTATTTTAAGTCTAATTTTTTTAATACGATTGCGGACGCTGTTATGAGTAAGCAGAGGAAAAATATCGAATAGCATAGCAGAGACCCCATCTACGTCAGTCGTGTATTTTCGTATTAACTCTAAGATATCCAATTCACCGACAGCTTTCTCGACAAATCGGGTTAGCTCTTCAAAATTTAGCGGGTACTGGGCGTTATCTATTAAATCTTTAGCGGGCTGGATCAAATCAGAGGTCGAAGTTAAACTCTCAGTGGAGTCACAAGTTTTAATTTTTTTGGTTTGTCTAGAGCTTAAATCATTCTCCACCGCACAAGATAACTCTTTACTCAGATCTAGAGGCTGAAAACCTTCCATTTCCTCTTCGTCATCGGGACGGTTCTTATCGACATCCCCATTAGATCTCTTATTCGACTTCTCAAGTGAAGTGTCATTTACCTGTAAGATAGTGGGAGAAGAAGTATTGAAGTACCTGAGGTTGAGGGACATTCTTGTGCGAAATGACCAACCTGCTTACATTTAAAGCAAACATCGTCGTAATTTAGAAAAATACGGTAGTTCGTGTCATCATACTTCAATATTAACGAAGATGGAAGTTCAACTGAATCATTAGGCTGGACATAAACATGACGACGAAAACTCAAAACATGATTATATTCACTGTTTTGTATGCCAGCTCTCAAAAAGGATATCTTATAGATACTAAGGTAAAACCCAATCTTTTGATGAGATCCTCAACAATCTTGTGAGGGATCGAAAGACACACATTAGAAAAGATAATACGTTTAGCGGGTTTATAAGGCAGCGCACACTGACTACATTTTCCTTAACAACAATATTTTGATGACCTGAAATGATTAAGTCAACATATGATTTTTCTTTTAAATATATACATACTCTATCGTTCGACATGTGGGACGCGAATATAACATTTTTAGGCGCAACTATATCCCCTACAGCCACGACATAATCAATAAGTTTTAAATCTTTAATTGCATTTAGAACTATAGCCTGATCCCTTGCCGGAAATGAAGTCGTAGGCGTCTCCATTTCGACTGGGGGTATGTTGTTTAGCTACAATAAATTGTACTCGGCGAGTAAAATATCACAGTACTTCACCTCCTCAAAAATATCCGTTATCAGCGCAAAAAAAGTTACGATTAAACTCGAATTGATAACCAAACTTTGTTACTGGGAAAACAAGTACTGAATTCCTAGAAAAATAACCGAAAACGCACCAATATCAATACAAAAATATGAACTCCATCAAACAGGAATAACAAAAATCCAATTCGCAAGTTAACAATTGGAAAGGGCTCACCAAATACCAGGTGAAAGCGGGGATCGCCCAATCACGCACCTATCACCTATGATGGTTGGTTAATTAATTTAAGGAAGTTTCAGATTAAATTTACTAAAATTTTGAAAGTGTTTATGTTTTGTAGTTTATTTCTTTTATGTGAAAGTTTCTTTTTTTTTAGAACTGATTTTTGTGGAACTAACTTTGTTTGCAATTTGCTTTACCAGTTACAGAATGTTTTATTTAGTAAGTATGTGGTAATGATAAATATAAACATTTTTTCATGACCTCCACAGAAAAATGCATCTTTGTCTTATAGAAAATGACACTTTTCTTGCCACTTTTCTCATTAGCAACGCTTTTCCAGTTAGCAACCAGCCAGCAACATTGTCTCATTCGCGTCATTTGTATTTTTTCCTGCTTCTCGATTCACTCAATAATTTGTAACACTTTTCTTACTTGTATCGAGCGAGCAATATAATTTGTAATCGAGTCATTTGTTGATTTTCATTTGTTTCGGAAAAGTCACGTCGATGATTGATCCACATAGTTCGTAACTTCAAATAAATTAAATTGACAGATGGAAAGAAAAAAATGGCGTGAACTCAGAACTGAATTTAAATAATGAATGATTAACCATTTAAATGTTCAGATTTTTGATTTAGTAAAACTCATCTTCTTTGTTTTGAACGTATCCTGAAATGTGGGGGCGAATTCGGTGAATATAATTCCATAAAAACAGACCACAGTAAAGGAATCGACTTTTAAATCGATGATGGTTTGCTTTCACTTTAATGAGGTAAATCGACTTGTGCAAACACATTTTTCAGCCAAAAACAAACCAAAATTTTGAATTTTCATCATTTATTTTTTAATAAAAAAAAAAGACACTTAATTCACAATTAATTTCCATTAGAGCATTAAACACTACATTTAAAGTCCCTATTCACAATAAATGCTGCAAATGTTCCCCATTTTCTTGAAAACAGCAAAACTCTTCTTCAAACTGCATCAATGACATTGTTCAATATAACCTCATTGTTGTTTATTTCGTTGATTTTTTCAGTTATTCTGTTCCTTAAATCTTCCAAATCATTAGCAGGAGTACAATACATTGTGTTCTTTAAATGCGGCCAGAGAAAAAATCAGCAGGTGTAAGATTACATGATCTTGGGGGCCAGATATGTTCAGTATTTCGACTAATAACTCTTTGGTCAAAAAACTCTCGTAATGGTTGGAAAAAACCAAAAGCTAATTCATCATCATGGAGTTCTCTTCTGAATGGCCCCAAAATTTCTTCCAGATATCAAATAGCTGTTAAATTGCCTAAAAAATGATCAGTTGAGGAAGAAAGTTAAAAAACTTTGATTTTCATTTTCTTACCATTAAAAAAGAATGGGCCTATGATGCGTCTTTGGCTAATTGCAGCCCAAACACCAATTTTTTGTGCATGAAGTGGGGCCTCAACATAAAAAGGTGGTTTCTCTTGGCTCCACATTCGCATATTTTGGGAATTAACATAACCACTCAAGTGGAACCAAGCTTCATCCGTAAAAAATGTCTTCTCTAGCAGTTCATCATCAAATGTGTTCAAAAACCACTCACAGTATTCACGTCTGATTGGAAAATTCCCGTCATGTAATTCTTGCACACATTGTAATCGATAAGCAAATAATCCCAAGTCTTTTTCAATATTGTTCGGCAAGTGCACTACGCTTTAATGAATTGTAAAAATTAGCATAATCCACAATATTGTTTGAAAATTGCTCTCTAAATTCGGTCCACGTGTCAGGAATTAATATTGCCATTGTACGTCGATTTTTTGACCATTTCGAAAGTAAGACTCAATCATAAAAGTCTTATGTTCCAATGTAAAAGCCATTTTTCATCAAGTTCTTGAATTTGTTGAAAATTTAAGCCAAAAAACGGCCCAAAATGAACACAAGTTAGTTCTGAAAAGAACTGTTTTTTTAAAAGGATTTTCAGTACGAAACACAACAAAAGCAAAAAATCGTTCGTTACGGCCCTTCAGTTACTTAAAGAATTCAGAAAAAGACACAATTCAGTTCGAAAACACTTGGAAAACACAATCAACTTAACCTCAAACGTAACGAACAGTTGAACAGTGGTTCAAGTTACATCCAATATCGGTCACGGTCTTACTGGGGATACCACAGGCGAATACATATTCAAATCATGTAAAAAATAGGGATGAATTTTAAAAACTGCAGAATTGCAAAACTGAACGACTCGGTACAATTTAAAATTTTTAGCATTCATTTTAATAAAATTTCCAAAACCCATTAATGCAGGTAAACGGCGGAACTGTAGACATCATTAATCGTCAGAATTTGGTAAGACACACGTACTTTGTTCAAATGTTATTTCAAATGTAACTCGATTACAAATTATATTGCTCACTCGATATTTGAGGCACCTACTAAATTGGCAACTGCAACTACAGTTCTTCACAATGATCCATTTTTGCATTATTTTAAGCGTATTTACTTGTTATGAACAGACTTGCCATGGTAATTATAGAATGTTACACAAACATTATTATTATAAACCAAAGATTAGATTTTGTAATTATGTCTTTTAAAACACGAGTAAGTACACAAAAAATAGTGTTAAAGTTAAATGCTTCAAAGAAGTGTGAAGAAGCATACCATGTTCATATTACACACATTACACATTAAATAATTATTTGTACTCGTACGTTGCGCTTTTCTAAGAATTTCAGGGAAATTATGTGTATCTGGTGTTTGAATAAAAACCTGGTTAGCGTATGTTAGCAGCTTTTGTTTTTTCCGTATGTCTCTTCCAAAATGAATTTTGATAGCTGTCATCCGCTTTTAATTGCCACATAGACTACTGAGTTCGAAATCTAAATACCAATTGTCACGAATACGGTGATAAATACTTCGACATTCGGAAAAAAACAAAAATTGCTCGAAGGTTAGAACTTTCATCGCCCTAGAGGTACAGTACACTAAATGCATATTTTTCGACCATTTATAAGATTTGGTTTTGCAAAATTTTATTTTTTTATGATAACCTTAATAAGTTAAACTAAAATTTGTATGTAATGTTAAAGTAAAGTTACAGAAGCCTATTACGCGTTTCTTTGCGGTGTGTTTTTTCAATGATATCATCATCATTTTTGCAAGGACACGTATATCAATTTGGATAAGTAGATGCAGTGATAACAGTACTGTATTCTCAAATTTTGGGGAACATGGAGTAAGTCATTCTTGATTTAATCAATACAATAAATTCATTAATTTTTTTGAGTCACCCTGTATAAGTAATTCTAAAAATCAAGAGTGCATAAATCACATAATATTTTGCATGTTTCAAAGAGGATTTATTCGGTAAAATTTTGAGATGTCACCCATTTTTGGGGGGATAAACGAATAAAGTTTGAATAACGATTCACCATGATTAGGAT